TACTAAGGCATTCTGGGTGGTTACCAAAGCATTGTGATGCAGTTGCTAAGGTGTTCTGAGAGGTTGTCAGAGTGTTGCTATGTGGTTACTAAGGCATTCTGAGTGGATACCAGGGAGTTGCTATGAGGTTGCTAGGGTACTCTGAGTAATTTCTAAATGCATATTTATTAGTCAAAAGAGTCCATATATTTTCACTTGCTTTTTTTTTTCATCTGTCAGGAAAAACAAGTCTGATTGGTTAAAAAAGCAAAAGCACACCTCTCCTCAACAACAACAAAGAGATATCATTCATGTTCATAGCAACAAACATTTAAGGATAAGCCAGATGCCTAAAAACAATACTTAGGCCTATATGCTTGTTCAAATCCCAAAGTATGCGATTAGCAACAGTGATACTTGATCACAAAATAATAAGAATGACCTTCTTCCAAGCTCACAGCCTCTACAGATAAAATGAGCCTTCTTGAGTTACTGTCACAGATTACTCTATTTATCTTGCTTTAAAGTAACTTCAGTTATTACGACCTGTAATTGTCTGTGGTCATATCAGGTGCACCACTGATGGCTAACATCATCTTGAGTGTGCTAATGTTTCAAACAATGACTAAAATCCAAGAGAGTCCTGCTGGAAACACTGTTGACATGAGCCATAAAATCGCAAGCACAAAATGTGCTTTACGCATGACGCATCACGCCGGCTTCGGTCTGTCTCGGCACGGCAGCAGGGATGAAGACGGGCCCGACGTACTTAGCAGGCTCCACTATAAACCTGCAGGAATAAAGAGAACTCGCTCCTCTTGAACTAGAATGCTAATTACTGCATTTGTCATGATCAGGAATCAAAGCAGCGCACAGGCGACCGGAGCGCTTGAATTTCCCCGCTCGTCCTCCAAGGATCGTCATGTTCCATTAGTCTTCTTTAGATCTCCCCCCAGGCACTTGAAGAGAAGTGCGAGGCCTCAAGTGCTGAGTAAAGTGTTCTACAGTGTGCTGGGAGGGTATGAAAAATGGATTTCTGGAAATAAATCCACCAGGTGAATGACATCCACTTTTCAGAGAGTCTGTCAGCGTTATTAAGGGAATAGCTCACCAAGAAATTAACATTCTATCATCATTTACTCACCCTCATGTCTTTGCAAACCACTATGACTTTACTTATTTGTGGAACACAAATAAAGGGCTAAAACTTAGTGAGCTGTCTACTAGCTACATAGACAGCATCATAACCAAAATGTAACTGCATTTGTTTACTATTTTCAATGTTCTATATGCATTAAAATGGCTCTCCTCGTGTGAAGCACATGGCAGACTCAACTCACAACTGATTTCAAATAATTTTTCTGAGTTGCTAATCTAACAATGCAATCGAATACACAGAAATATAAAGATACATACAAGCACACAGATATTGGAAAGTGGTTCATGATAAGATAATTACATGTATTAATCATTTTTGGTATTATATGTAACATAAGATATTAAATATTTTCTCTCACTTTGTCCAATTTTTTATGTTACATAACGTTATGAAATGTAAAAAATAATAATAATAATTACCATTCCTTTGAACTTTCTATTCATCAAAGAATCCTGGGGAAAAAAGTATCACATTTCCACAAAAATATGAAGCAGCACAAGTGTTTTCAACATAACATAATAATCAGAAATGTTTCTTGAGCAGCATATTAGAATGATTTCTGAAGCATCATGTGACACTGAAGACTGGAGTGATGATGCTGAAAATTCAGCTTTGCATCACCGGAATGAATTACATGTTGAAATATATTCAAAGAGAACATAATTATTGTAAATTGTAATAATATTTCAGAATTTTACTGTATTTTTAATTAAATAAACAAAATTATTGCATGGCTTCAGAAGACTTCAAATATAGCACACGTCGTATAGACTACTATATAGTGCTTGACAGTGCATGCTAAGTCTACATTTTTATTACAGAAAAGAGCAGCATAACTATAGAAGAAAACCATAGAGGTCAAAATCTGCATATTCCATCCACAGTATTCATTTTTAGTTTTGATTTTGATTTTTTAAATTCAGTAATGGTCTAAAAAAATCCAGATAATTGGAATCTGATTTGGCTCCTGGTTCGGATAAACTACAGCCTGTCTTCTATCATGGAACTGACCTTCCGCTGAAACAGAACATATTGACTCCTGCATGCAGATGTTCACCATTATGCTTTGAGAGACAGCGAGACCACGCCAGCATTTCACTCTCCGCTAGCATTACCGTTCTCTAATCAGACCGCTGGCTCTGTCGTTTCTGGACCAGCGCACCTGCCGCTTTTCAACACGGATCAAGTCATAGCATGGATTTATGTAAGGTTTCAAGAAAGTTCACGAGAAAGTCCGCGGAGAGGACGGGTTATTCAGCCCCGCGTCTGCTGACTTATGAGCTTTTGACAAATGTGACTCATACAGGAATGTCAGAAAGTGAAATTGATGGCAGCGGCGTTTCATAACGCATAAAGAACCTCCTGGAAACCAACGCTTGTTTATATTGGCTTTTTATAGGCACTTTTGTTTTGTTTTGAAAAGAGGTCAATTGTAGATTTGCTGATTAGTGACTGCAAGTGTGACTCACTTTTACCGTCTCGTGGACCAAAACAAGCAAATAATTGGCTTTTTTTTTTTAGTTCATTTTGTGATATATACTCACCCCCAGGTCGTTTCAACCCTGTATTTTCTTTTTTCTGTGAAACACGAAAAGAAATGTTCTGCAAAATATCTGAGCTTTGGCTTTCCATACATGAAGGTGGCTGGTGAAGTTTGACTGCAAACGTTATTGGTTCTCAAGCGTTAAATGCAAAGGAAAAATGACCCTAACAACTTAAATTTGGGTCTGTTTCTCATACAGAGCAATCAAATGACTTCGATATACTTGGAATGCACGTACTTTTATGAGACATTTGAAGGAACAGTTCATCCAAAAAAGAAAATGTACTCACCCTCAGGTCATCCAAGATGTAGATGAGTTTGTTTCTTCATCAGATTTGGAGAAATGTAGCATTCCATCACTTGCTCACCAATGGATGCTCTGCAGTGAATGGGTGCCGTCAGAATGAGAGTCCAAACAGCTGATAAAAACATCACAATAATCCACAAGTAATCCACACCACTCCAGTCCATCAGTTAACATCTCGTGAAGTGAAAAGCTGTGAAAAGAATTAAGAAACCGTTCTGACGGCACCCATTCACTGCAGAGGATCCACTGGTGAGCAAGTAAAATTAATTTCTCCAAATCAGTTCTGATGAAGAAACAAACTGATCTTGGATGGCCTGAGGTTGAGTACATTTTCAGCAAATTTTCTTTTTTGGGTGAACTATTCCTTTTTTTGGCCATTTTACTTTGCTCACCAAAGCAGAAAGAAAATACTGTGAATTTGGGATGGCAGGAGGCTGAGTAAATCTATTTCAATTTTGAAGAAAATATTCCTTTTAATAAATAAATAAATAACTGCAATGTTCAAACGTTTGGGTTCAGTAAGATTAAAACAATTTTTTTTTTTAAAGAAGTCTCTTCTGCTCCCCAAGTTTCATTTGATCAAAAATACAGTAAAAACAGTAATATTGGAAATATTATTACAATTTAAAATAACTGTTTTCTATTTGAATATATTGTAAAATGTAATTTATTCCTGTGATGCAAAGCTGAATTTCCAGCATCATTACTCCAGTCTTCAGTGTCACGTGATCCTTCAGAAATCATTCTAATATGCTGATTTGCACAAGTTGAAAAGAGTTTTTGCTGCTTAATTTTCTAGAAATCGTGGTACATTTTATTATATATTTTTTCAGAATTCTTTCATAAATATAAAGAAGAGCATTTATTTAAAATAGAAATCTTTTGTAGCATTATAAATGTCTTTACTGTCTCTTTTGTTCAGTTTGTGTCCTTGCTGAATAGAAGTATTCATTTCTTTAAAAAAAATGACCCCAAACTTTTGAAGGGTTGTGTGTATATACATATATACTGTATGTACATTTTCCATAGTTAAGTGAATTCTTTTTTTTCCCCCCAGCAAGCAAGTTAATAAAGCAGGATTCTTTATTTGAAAATGTTTATCGGTTTTCACATTGCAAGAAAAGACAAGCTTTGTTGCCCCAGTAGCTCATGAATTATTCATGAGATGTTTCTAGGGATGACTTCAGGTGAAAAGCCCGTTACTCACCCCCACATACACACACACACTCAAACACACTCCTGCACATTTACATATTCATCTGTCTAGCAAACATCCCACTATATTTTTTAAACCTTGCTTTGACATGAATCAGCAGCATTTTACCTTGGAAATCACCCACTTATCTTCCCCCAAGTTCTGCTGTACACACACACACACACACACACACACAGGTACAACAGGGCTTAATTTGTATCAGAAAAGCTGGATCTGGATCTGGAATTGGATTGTAATTATTGAGCATTTTATGGAGGGTCACATTAAAAATGTGAAATAAACTTTTATTCTTTCTCTGTCTTAGTCTCTTTCTCTTTTATTCTTCTTAGTCTGTCTCTGAGGTCAGCAGCCAATCAGAATTAACTTGACAATTTTGCTGCTTGACCGTGATCAGTCACATGACATTTACAGCTCTAGTTATTGGCTGAAACTTCTTAAGATGTAACCATATAAAATGCACATTTAATGTCCAAAACATTAATGTTTTCTTACCTCTGCATTAAAGTTTTTCATTTTTTTCTGCTTGAAAATGTCACATTTAATTCAATGTGTCAATTGGCGTTTCTATATTTGTGAAATTGACTAGCAATTTCTGAGTGAAAACTGCTACAAAGTAATTTTTTAAGAAGTTATGGCAAATTTCTAATTAATTTATGTATTTATTAGGAATAGACAACAATTACTATTATTTTTGACAAATTAATAAATGATTAAAAATCAATAAATTCTTAATTTTGTAAAATAAAATAGCAATTTCAGTGAAAATGTTTCAAAGTAATTTTTTGAGGGAGTGGTGGCAAATTCGAAATTTCTCTCTTATGACCAACATAATTGATTACATAGATATCTGATTTATGAATTTTTTATATATGATTATGTTGATGGATATTTCTTCCTCTTTTGTGTAGTCATAGAAATGCTGCACTGGATTTTTTTTTTTCTTCTATTGAAGCAAATGGGAATTCAAAAATGATATTTGTTGTAGTTTCCATTCACGACTATAGAAGCTTATGATGAATTCAGCTTCTGAGAACCACAGAAATGTGAAACGGGTCCATAGACAAATGAAGCACTGCTGACCTGTTACACCAACAGCTGGAAACAGGAAGGGATCTAGTCATCTAGAAATCAACAACAGAAAGACTTAAAGTGCAAAACAGCAGAGAAATACAACTTTCCATTTTCTCCATTATTAACATCTATGTGTTCCCAAACTCACCTTAAATTTACAAATCAATCTTGTACTCTAAGCGATGATGATGATGATGAATCATGGTTTCCGTACAGAAAAAAACAAAAATAAAATCTCCACCGATACATTTATAGCTTAACGTCAGTGTGTCACATGTAAATGACGATGCATAGTTACCTGGTATCGCTCATTTGATCCGGGCTGCGTGCCCAGTGTGAGGTGATCCGCCAGAGGTCATAGTTTAAAGATCAATAGGGGGCAAACAGTACAGGTGTGTGAGCAGTCCTGATTGGCCCTGGTGCAGGGCGGAGCAGCACAGCGGGGAGGGACTGAGTCTGAAAGAGGGCGGGGTTATGGCAGGCACGCAATGGGAAGGCGGAGCTAACGGCAGCGGCCGCAGCGGCGACAGCTGCCAGGTGGGACGGCATTATCCTGGTTGTCAGCAGTGGACACAGGTCTTTACCTACTGGCATCTTCACCTGCTGGACAGAAAACAGGTTTAAAAAAAATTTGAACTAATTTTTTAACTAGTTTAAATATATTTTTATATAAAATACCATTATGATAATTTAGCATGATAATTATTAAATGAATAATAATAACACATTCTTCAACATGATTCAAACACACACACACACACACATATGTATATAATACATATACTGTATAAATAATAAATATAAATATAAAAGAAAAGGAATATGCACACAAAAATATAGGCCAAAGCTTGTGTAGATGTATCCCATCACATCCACAAAAGTACAAACAAAGTGGCACTGATATAGGGTTGAACTCGAAAACATTTTGTATTTGGCAGTTTCTTTGCACTCATTTTGAGGCCTCGATGGAATAAATCTACATGAGCATCAGTCTAAATTTTTGTATGCAAAGTCAATTTCATTAGTAAAATCTGTAATCAAATGGGTTGTATTTTTAACAGTGAAGTGAGTGAAATCCATGCAGTGATGCCCTAAAACAGTGTTTCCCAACCTTTTTTTTTTTAAGCCACGGCACAGTTTTGAAAAGTTAAAAATCCCACGGCACACCACTAAGCACTGAAATATAACAAAATTGCATAAACATGCATTGCTTTAAATGGCATATTAAAACTGGATATTATATTTTAAGTAGTACTCACATTTAATGTGAAATTTGAGCTTAAGTCAGGTATGAACACAAGGTCATAGGTAGCTTTATGACAAAACAACAGATGTACATATAGTCGCTGTCGGGCGGAAACATTGTAGGCTATGTTCAAAACCACTATCATTTTCAGGAAATGTAAAAACAAAACAATTTTGTTTTTTTAAATAATTAAACAGCGTCGTCAGAGTTGGTATTGTGGCTTTATATATGATCAGACACTTAAGAGGTTTTTGACCAGCGAAAGATGGTGTTTTGTCTGTCATTAGAACGGCTGCATCTGAGGCAGTGAGTGCATCGCATTATGTTTTCATCAACTTACAGGTTATGAAGTTTATTGTAGCAATATGCAGGGCCGGATTAACAATAGGGCTAGGTGGGACTGAAGCCCCAGGGCCCGAGCAACGAGGGGGCCCGTGATTGGCTGTGGAGTAGATTGACTGAAGCGGCAATCGCCAAAGCCCGGTAGCGCCGATTGCCAAAGCCCCGCCCCTCACTTATTAGCGCTATTATTTAGTGGAGCTTTGCCGTAAATTCCATGTATTACCATTAGATATTGAAACGTCACGTTTGAATTTGGTTTACCAGTCAAATGCATTTATTCGGTATTTGACTTTTGAACGAACTGTACACGTATCTATCAGGTGATCGCTGCGCCTGATGTCCACATTCACCTCCACTCTTCACTTCATTCTGGCATAATGTGGAAATGGTCATGCAAAGAACAAACTTCAATAAGTAAAAATGTCAGCTATTCTAAAAAAAATGTGAGAGAGGGGCTCAAAAAAAAGAAAAATGTAAAAGACAAACAGCAGATAAAACATAGTCAGTAAAATCCCCAGCTATCCAGTTATTTTACTAAAGGTGATGATGGAGTAGAAGTTGTGAAACAGCAAGTGGACCGGGCACATGGAGCAGATAAAAACAGCGCCATCGTCCACACAGATTTTAGGTTAGTTTGATTATTAACTTGATGGATATATTTGGCTTTTTGTGTTTGAACAAACTCTACACTCTAAAAAAGGCTGGGTTAAATATAACCCAGCGCTGGGTTAAAAAGGGACAAACCCAGCTATTGGGTTGTTTTGACCCAGCGGTTAAGTTCAATATATATTCGCTTAAGGGTTGGGAAATAACCCGGTAGAAAAATGTCAATCGTTTTGCGCGTCAGTAAGCAAGCTTAAACGTGTTTTAAGCATTGTGGTTTAAAAACAAATGGTTTTAAACTATTCATGGACATTAAGCAGCGGGGCAGAATTCTTGTTGGTAAATGCGCGCGTTAAGACGGTTTCAGCCTGATACGCGCGGCGCGCACCTGCTCGTACAGAGCCTGACTAAACTTGAGTTCTTTTTCACACCTTGTGCTTAAACGTTCAAATACACACAGTTATGTGTCAAAATGCCAGTCTTTGCGAGTATCCTCGTCAACACAGTCTTACATGAACGTTGATAGTTAAAGATAAAGCATGTGTAGTAAGTAGGCTGTATGAGATCCTGGCATTATATGATCTTCACCCAAAAATGAAAATACTGTCATCATTTACTCACCCTCAAGTTCTAAACCTGTATGAATTTCTTTGTTCTCCTCAACAAAACAGAAGATATTTTGAAGAAAGTTTCTGGTCCCCATTGACTCCAATAGTGTTTTTTCTTTTTTGGTTACCAGTATTGTTCCAAATATATTATTTTGCGTTCAACAGCAGAGGGAAACTCATACAGGTTTAGAACAACAACAGAATTTTCATTTTATTGTGATGGGGGGCCCTGAAGTAAGTCATAGCCCCAGGGCCCAGTGAGGTCTTAATGCGGCCCTGGCTATATGGGTGCTCAGTTTTTACAAAACAGACTCTTCTCCGCTCTTCAAACACACACACACACAAAAACATAAGCATTTATAAACATAGTATTTCTTGAGTAAAGAAAACGCTGTACTTATTCAAACATCAGTTCTTTATTTACCCTTGCATTGCGAACGAGCAGAGATCTGTCTCCAGACTGCGCGAGGCGCTTCATTCTGAATGGAGGCGGGTGGAGTTGTGAGGTTTTGCTGATAGTTTGAGGATTCAATGGCATTACGAGGTTTACTCACAAGCTCTTTTGAATGCATTTCATTGGTTAATATTTGTAAAACCCACAAACGGATGTAAAGATGACCAATAGCATTGATTTAAAAGAATAACAATAATGATTAAATATAATAGAGATAGAAAGTTTTGATAATTTTCCACGGCACACCTGACAACCTGTCACGTTGGGAAACACTGCCCTAAAATCCTGCATATGCAATGCGATTGATGTTGATATTGTTCCAAACCCGTATGTGGTTGTTCTTTTCCATGGATCACCAAACAGTTTCACTACAACAACAGTTCACAGTGACCGCAAGCACCACGACAGTAGTCCACATGACTCATGCGCTATCTTCCAAAATGTCTGAAGTCCTAAGATAGATTTTGTTTGAGGAACAGACAAATTCAAATCACTCCCTGAAAATCTTTGAAATCTCATTTGTGTTCACAGTGAGCTTGACGGATCTGGTCACTATGAGCTGTTGTTGCATGGAACAATGCAGAAAAAAATATGAGGGTGAGTAAACAATGACAGAAGTTTCATTTTTGGGTGAACTGTCGCTTTAATAAACGGTCTCGATGTGTATAATTCATCAGGACGTGTTATTTGAAAGGCAAACATTGTCTTGATAAGCGTTCATCAAAACAATGGTTTCCTCTGTCTCTGAAATAACTTTTTCTGCTGACATACATGAGTCAAACAGGTGCTGAGAATACAATAATAAACTACACCACTGTTCAAAAGTTCGGGGTCACAGAAATAAATGACATTTTACAATATATTCAAACAGAAAACAGTTATGTTAAATTATAAATAATTATTATAATTAAATTGTATTTTTTATAATTCTTTCATGAACATTTAAACATCTTATCAACCCTTTGATTTTGAATGGTAGCATATATTATTGTAATTTTTTTTTTATATATAAAAAAATAACATAAACCACCAACACGTAGTCTACACACGAATGAAGTCCTGGGCTGCGTTCAGCCCCGACAAAAACGGTGCAAAACGTTTATTAAACGGAAACGGTGGTGCGTTGAACACTCTGTTCTGATGATGCAAGAGTTGCAACTATGGCAGCTGAGAAGGCCATTCTTTGTGTTCTTTTTGAAGAATTTTCGAAGCCTGATGAAATCGGTATAAATACGTGTTTAATACTGCAAAATACGCTCGATGTTACAGTCA